CCCAGTATAATGGCTTGACCTGTGCCATTTTCTTACATGTGCAGGTATATTTCCTATTGAACCAGAGACATTTGTGGTGAGACAAATTAAAAGGCTCTTTTTATTTTATTTTATTTTTTTACCAAGCATCCATTAGATAAGTCACAACCCCAAACCTGTATTTGATTTGCTATAGGCCATGGTATTGCTAGTCAGAGACTAACCTACAGAGGACAATTCACATTTACTACTGGTTTGTAGAATGTAGAATTAGATTTGTTTGTGGTTAACATTACATTTTGTAAATCTAAAAAGTGAAACCTTTTGTGTGTCTTATGCACAGCTCTACATGTACTTGCATTCAAGTTTATCATCATAACCCACCTTTTTCTGCATTTCTTTGTGCTTTGAGATGATCCAGCACATGTTCCTTCTCTCCACTACAGTATAGTCTGATGTCTCACAGTAGCAGAAAGGCAACAGAAGCCTGTCAATAATCAAAGATGTGTCACATTCTGGTGGACACCCAAGGCAGAAATGGCATGTGGCTTGTTTTAGCCAGGCCAGTTGTCTTTTTCATACAAACATGAAATGCAGAAAGGATCATTGAAAAATCTCATCACTGAGCATTAACAGACACGCTTTGCAATTTATACTTTACAGAGGTCTGTAATAGTTCACAATTTGTCAAGAAATTATGCTGTTAAATGTAGCTTGTGCATTGTGAAAGGTTTTGTTGCATAATTGAGGAAATTATCCTTACAGGATAACAAGTTCTTCAAAACGTTTATAGCTGTAAATGTATCTTAAGATCTTTTTGTGCACTATCAAATCTATCGCAGTTGAACAGATGTTGCATTGCTGTTGCAGAATTGTGTGATGCTCAAGGGCTCTCTTTACATATCAGGCTCGCAATGCCTTTGATATCTTTGTAATTCTTGACCTACAAAGCAAAGGCTTCACATCACACCCAAGAGGAACACAAACATCAGAGTGTAGTCTTTGTTGTTGACTGTCTTGTCTGATAAATTCCCTTCTGAGCAATAAATTCCTGACAGAGATGTATTTATTGTTTATTTATATCACTTGTGATACCTCATTAGCAATTATCTCTCTTTTATTCTTTCTTTCCTCTTGTCCTGGTGGACATTCTTATTTTTATATTTTAAATACTATTAGAATTTAAAAACTATAACTTCAAAAAAGTAAACAAATAAATAAATAATAAATAAAAGATCTATTTTTTTTTAGGATTTCAAGCGACAGCAAGGGCCACTAAGCACAGAGATATCCACAAAAACGCCCTTAACCTTATGTTTATAGTAGATGTCAAAGGTCCTACTCACACAGACACTGAACAAACTGTTCCTGCATTAAAAAAAAAAATCTGCCGTGTTACATAGATTTGGTAAATGTGTTGACTACAGCTTTTTAAAAACGATAAAGAGTTTGTGTTGTTCCTACAACACAATAGCTGTTCTTTTACTGTGAAGTAACAAACATATCTGATTACAGCGTCTAAGACAACAGGTTATTGTTGCCACCTTATTCCTCATCTTAATTTACCATTAATAATTTAAAAACTGACACCTTTGTTGGCAACAGTGTTGTTTCAGACACTATTCTACTGGTGACGATCTCCTTAGCCTTTGGACTTCTTTGAAAAAAGCAGATTTAATCATTTTCTTTGAACTAAATGGCTATAATATAAGAGCTGTCTGTAGCATTGGATTCTGAACTAGCTTTTCATTTGGTCTGTTTTTTTTTCTTGAAAAATATCAACAGATTTCTAACCTCGCTGGATATATGCAAATTTAATAATGGCGAATGAGAATATGCTTCCAGCCCAAGAGGCTGCCAAAATCTACCATACCAATTATGTGAGAAATGCCAGGGCCATCGGTGTCTTGTGGGCCGTTTTCACCATATGCTTCGCCATCATTACCGTGGTGGTCTTCATTCAGCCCTACTGGATTGGTGATAGTGTTAACACCCCGCAGGCAGGATACTTTGGGCTTTTTCACTATTGTATTGGCAACCCTATTACCTCCGAATTGGTCTGCAAAGGAAGCGTGTTTGATTTTGGTTCGATCCCCTCCGGGGCTTTCAGGACTGCTATGTTTTTTGTAGGCACCTCAATGCTCCTTATCGTGGGCACCATTGTGTGCTTGGGTCTTTTCTTCTTCTGCAACTCTGCAAGTGTGTACAAGATATGCGCATGGATGCAAACATCTTCAGGTGGGCAAACTGTTTACTAGTTAGCCTTGCTAATAAGCATAAATTAATTAAAGCGGTTTAAAAAGATGAAATTACAAAATGAACTACATTTGAAATATTTTTATTAATATATTTATTAAGGGTAGACACATGAATAAGGTTAGACATTTATGTATGTATGTATGTATATATTTATTTGATCACGAGGCTGTGAGGGACAGTTGCACGCCCCCCCCCCCCTTAACTTACAATTTTATCCACATAATGACAAAACTACAATTTTAATATTATTTTGTGTTCTGCGGAAAGAAAGTAAGACAGCTTTGGAATGGCATGAGGTGAATAAACCAGATCCGATCCTCCCTATTTGCAAAGAAAGCATGTTGCATAGGGCCCCCGATACACCAGTGGGCCCCCTTGCTCTCAAAGATTATTTATTTTTAGTTAAGTTGTTGATTTTGGCCAGCGGTTATGAACAAAATTAATGTTCATTTCCTTTAATTCTGTGCGCTGTCACCCTTTCTACATAACATCCAAATCAGTCAAATCAAGTGATTAGCCTACAGTCTCCTGCCGTTCTTGCTCGATACTAAAAAATGAGTTAAATTCGCAGAGCCGCGGAAGAGACAGTAGTGAGTACTTTACATGGACAACAATACTCCGATTTTAATACGATTAAGACAATACTCTGATTAAGAATCTACCATGTAAACCTGATTTTTGATTACCTTAATCCGGCTAAAGTCATAATCGAAGTAAACAGACCTCGAATTAAAATGTGGAGTATTCCTATTTTAGTCGCATTATTGAAGTGCAGTATAGACATGTACACACCTTAATCACATTATTACCGTTGTGTAGGACTTTTCGCCGCATTTTGCGACAGGATACACACACGGCAGTGCTCAACCGTTTGACGGCAAACAAAAGAGCTTCAACACTGCCATCGTCTGTATGCACGTACAAATAATTAACTGCACTTGAAGCTTTCATAAAATTGAAAATTAAACACCCAAAACTGTACATGGCATCATCACGAAGAGGAACTATATGTTTATACGTGAAATTCTGGAGGGGGCGTCGGATGGCGTCACTTCTTCTTTTAATATTATTGGCGGTTGGCAAACCAACTGAAAGGTGCATTTACCGCCAGCTACTGGACTGGAGTGGGCAGTACTTTGAAAGAACTTTTTCTATATTTGACGTAATGATGTGTGCCATTAATCGAACGATGTACTATAACATGTGAAACGGGAACATGAAAGGAATATTCTAAAAGCAACTCATGTAAACACCATAATCATAATATTGGCTTATTTAGAATAAGGTAAATAATTAGATTACTGTTTCCCAAGCGCTTTCCATGTGCGCGATTCGAGACAGACTGAATCACGGACACAGGCTACTTTTCCTTTTCAAGTCAAAATGTCCGATTGGGTGAGTTTTCACTAAACACAGTCAGTTGTGTCTTTAGTGAAAATAAACCGTTTGAAAAGTAATCGAATGCTAGTCAGTATCTGAGCATTCCGTGACAGCATCCTACTGTAGTAAACCTGCTGCTGTCTGTCAACATTTAAAAGCATTCATATCAACTGCATCTATCACTCACAACCCCGTTTTCATTCGTGAAAAATTCAATATTGCCTCTACCCTAAATAAATGCATATTCTAGGCATTTAAAGGGAGAGGTTATAGAAAAACGTAACCTTTGCACTTGATGTTGTAGCTGTGTTGATGGTGATGGGTTGTATGATTTATCCGGACGGCTGGGATGCTCCGGAGGTGAAGCGGATGTGTGGTGAGAGGACAGACAAGTACACGCTCGGGAACTGCACCGTTCGCTGGGCTTATATTCTAGGCATTATCAGCATCCTGGACTCAGGGTTACTGGCACTGCTTGCTTTCACTCTGGGCAACCGGCAAGACAAACTGCTGCCAGATGACTTCGAGGTGGAGGGTAACGGTAAGAAAAGTACTGGAATGATTTGGAGATTAATTCAAATGTATTCACGACTCATAATTCAGAGCTGAACATTAAGTTACACTGGCTATGAGCTGGATAGATTCCCACTTTGAAAACCCAGGGTCAGAATGTGCCGATTATTTGATTATTAGTGCATCATATGATTAATAATAATGTCAAGTTTCTATCCTACTTAATAATTATTCATGACTATATTTAGGTTGCAGTAACTTGTAGAATTTTTAAATGCACAATTTTACTGATGTTGTTGTTTCCTTTTGTTTATAGATAAAGCCTGAAGCCAAAACATCTGAACTGCAGTGGATATGGAACTGGACATTCATTGTAAAAGAAATTATAAAAAAATTAGCATCCCAGATTGACAACCCCTGTTTTAATGTACTAAAATGATATCGAAACAATCATTTGTTTTTCTGGACTTTTTTCTATTATTTTGCACATACTTAGCAATACAACAATTATTTAATCTTTACTTTTATCTGTCCAAAAGATCAGTGTGCATTACAATGAAAGGTACCCTGCTTTTTCATCTCCAATTTATAACATTTCTAGTGTTTTTTTTTTTTAAAGCAAATCAGACAAACCGGTTCACCCATCTTCCAAATGCTTTATTAAAACACTTCTATCCAGCTAAATAATTTTAGCTTAGATGCAATAGTAGGATTTCTTTTAAAAACTGTACATGGCTGTAATATACAGATCAAGGCAAACTCTTTGGTACACATATATACAGACACACATGCATGCACATGCGCACACACATAAATCATACATACAACACACACTCGGACAATAAATGTATTTTTTTTCTTCTTTTTCCCCCCCCCAAATATCACTTTTGGTGGGCCTTGACAGTTACTCACTTTATGTGGAAGCATCATGTACACTAAATGTACTGACCATGAGTGAGAAGACTTCAGTTCTTTAAAATCTAATCGGAGGCAGACAAGATCAAAACCTACTGAATTAATAAACACAGTTGAGATAGAATCACAGAGGAGTGGCGAATCTTGACGCAGAACAAAAACGATCTTAACTTATACTCTACAGTCATAAAGGTAACCCAAACAATTCACTTTTCATAAACCACCATTCCTTTCCCACTCAGAAAACTACAAGTAACAAAATTATCTCTTGTGCATCGCACTGCAGCCTGAGTGGTCGGTACTCAGGAGGACTGGACTGCATCTCATATTAGTACTGCAAAAAAAACAGATCCCCATCGTAATTTTGTATGACTTCAGAAAATACCCCAGATACCTAAACAGGCGTCTTCTAGGTCTACATTTCATCCTTTGCCAAAATAAGAGGGACGGCAGTGGGATTAAGGTGGGAGTAACCCTCACAAAAAAAAGGAGATACCAGCTAGAACAAAAACAGACAGGTTTAATATTCCTCTGATGAGCCAAGCAAATGATATCACTCAGGTTAACAGAAGAAAAATAACTATGCCGATATACTCTATAAACTGGAAAGTGATCTGTTGCAGTCTCTTGAGCTCAGGGCCTGAAGTATGTGCAGTGACAGCAAGAGGACACTAAAGGGCAAGCCAAGGGTGTCGCAGACAGTCGGCAGCAGTGACTCTTTTCTCTGGCAGGAGCTCCAGCATTGGAAGCAGGAAATCAGTGAAGATCTCGGCCTCCTCCCGAGGCCACTCGTATTTATCCATCAGAACATCCAGCAAACCCCACGGCTTCAGTTTAGTGATGTGCTTCAGGTCACCTACAGAAGACACACACTTAAGAGACCAGGCTTCTCATTCCATGCAGTACTCTAGTACTGTTTTTTTTTTCCTTGCAACATTCTGGTAGGGTTGCTCCGATTAGGATTTTTGCAGATGAGATAAGATGCGATTTCTTATGTGATCGGCCGATATCGATCAGGTACAGAAATACCACAGAAACTGAATAATCTATTTAACTTTAAAAATAACACTGGTTGGTGTTCAATGTATGAATAAACATTAATGACAGACAGCAGCAGGTTTATTTAGTTAAGTGCGGAAACTGCGGGAATCAGTAGAATCCCTCCCCGAGATTCAAGCCCTGATTCCACACTGGCGATGACATGACTGCGGCGCCAAATCATTTACGTCCCCACGCATCATGTACGTCCTCACACGTTGACATCATCAAATTGCGATCGTTTCGTGAGATCGGCCAAGTTTAGTGAGTACCGATCAAGTCATAAAATGTGATTATCGGCCGATACCGATCTCCGGCAGATCAATCGGAGCATCCCTACATTCTGGCATTAACATGTTGCCCCACAAAACCACATAAAATCAACATTAAACTTAATTTTAAATTGATAATGTGATGCATTTTAGAGTGAAAATATATTCAAAGAAATAAAAAATAAAAAAAGTTAATACATTAAGTTAATGGCAAACTTTTTTGGGATAATGTACACTGGTAAATTGTGGACAGAAATGTGCATTAAATTCAAAATTCTGAACTGTAAAATGTAAGTAAATCCAAATATATATAAAACATCCATCCATGAGGCTTTGCTTTCGAAATTATTAAAAGATACACTACCGCTACAAAGTTTGGGGTCAGTATTTTTTTTTTACTTTTGTTCTTTTACTTTTATTCAGCAAACTAGCATAAAATTGATCAAAAGAGACTTTTACATTGTTCCAAAAGATTTCCATTTCAAATAAGTGTCGTTCTTTTTAACCAAAAATACTATTTTCAACATTTATAATAAAAGTTACTTAAGCACCTTTGCCATCACATGAATAAATTTCATTTTGAAACAATGAAAATAAAAAAATATTCAATTACAATACTATTTTACAATATTATAGCTTTTACTCTTTTTAATCAAATAAATGTTGATTTTATGTGGTGAACCCAAGAGACTTCAAAAACATAAAAATATATATATATATATATATCAACCCCAAACCTCTGAACAACATTTAACAATGAATATTTAACACATTTAAGTTTACAATGCACTTTAATCATCTGAAGTGAAAGTATGATGACTAGGTATAAAATGTATTCATAATGGCCGCATTACCTTTCTTGGAGAAAAACTCCTTGGAATATTTTCCGGTCAATATGAGTTTGCGTGGGATGGCTCCCAGCAGTTCAATGACCAAAGCAATGTGGTCTACCATCACACACAGAGAGGATCGAGGGTGTGAGGGTGAGACGGAGGGGAGGACGAAACATTGGACAACTTGATCAGACAGTGTTAATACAGTCATTCACCCATCCTGAGAGAACAGAAATGAGAAGGAAGGCAAGGAGACACAGCCATATCCAGCAAAAACGGCGGTCACATAGTGAACTATTTTCACATCAGAGATTCAGATTAAAGATTTAAGAAGAATTGGACTTGTGTAATGCAGAAGTGTTTTTGAGGTTCTCCTGCCTCTTGTAGAGCTTCAAGCTAATTCAGCAGAATCATGCCACAATTCTGTGGCTTTGAAGCTACAACAGTTCATCTATTGTTTATTAGGGCTGCCTCAAACTTGTAAGAAAAACCTCCTTGTAAACAACTGGACATTTTCTGAAGATTTTAGCAAAACACGTGCTGTCAATGGAACTGCTGGATCTCCTCTCTTCCCCTTCAAACCCCTCCCTCAGGGCAGGGCTCTTCCTGACTGACAGGCGTACCTTTACGGCTGAAATATTCCTGTGAAAATTTCCCACTCAGAGCATAGTGATGGGGGATATTCCCCAAAAGCTCAATAATCAGAGCAAGGTGGTCTGAGAGAGAGAGAGAGAGAGAGAGAGAGAGAGAGAGAGCGGGAAGACAGAGACAGTAAGAGAACATGATCATGGAATGGAGACAAGCAGAAAGAACCTGGACACACTCCAAAAAAAAAAGGACACACTCAAGGCAAATTACAGTGGGCCAGAATGACAGATTACAAGCTTAACAGGGCATCTTACATCAGTGTCTCCAGTCAGCATATTAATGTTTATACACGGCTCTATGGAATACAATAATGAAAATTGACAATCGTTTTATCAATTGTGTACATAAACAGAACTGGAATGAGCAAAGGATAGAATAGTGACTAGGGCTGGGCGATGATATAGCTAAAAAAAATTTATCAATGATATAATGTTTCATATCGTTCGGTATCGATAATTATTTACATTTTTTATAACCTTTTTAAAAACAGAGCAATAGAAAAAAAAAGTTTAAATTTAACAGCTGTATTTTTAAATTAACCCAATTTATTGAGACAAACAAATATTTTTTGTTATAAATGTCAAACACACAATAAAAATTAAACAAATATCTAATTTCTAATGTTTTATGTGCAGATTAAATAGGTCTTAAGGAAACTTTTGGCTTGTCTCCCGAGGTCACAGGAGGGCGCAATGAGCAAAATAATGCAGCGCATAAAATTGTCAACGCAAGGAAATAAATGTCTATTAAAAAAAACTGCATTACGTCTAAATTAACTCATATAAATCAAATATAATTTCGTAAATTGCATAAACAATTATGAACAAAACAGCATCATGTATTTATGCATTGCTTAATACAAGCCAAATCGCCCATCACGCCGATTGCATTTAAAAATATAAGAGACACAGTGAAAGGGAATAAAACCTCCACAAATTCGTGACGTGTTTTCTAAACGTGTTTTAACTTTGCATGGCTACATCTCTTGTGTGAGACGCGAGTGCAGCAGTCATATTTGTCCGTCTAAAGATGCGCTGAATATGCATCTTTGAGAATGGCTTTGTTTTGGTTTTCACCTAATCAAGATCTTCTCCACATTGAGCTTCTATATTTCTCTAATATTTTAAATGAATAACGCAGCAGCGGCATGTCTCATGGGCTAGACTAACAAAACATTAAAATACAACAACGTCACTTACATCATCACCGCATCTCGTGCTCCACTGATGACGCTCCCTGATGCACTTCTAACGTTCAAATGCAAATGTTTATTTTAAATTCGACTAATATTCATTTTTGTATTCACAATCTTCTCATCACAGGCAGGCACAGCACTCAATTCAGCATGTGTTCGTGTTTGTGTGAGCTGTCTGCGTCACTCATAGTACGTGCCTATACGTGCACTATATCGAACATTTTTATATCGTTATCGAAGAAGGTGTACAGTCAATAAATATCGATATCGTTTTATGGCCCAGGCCTAATAGTGACCAGAAAAAAAAACATGAGACACACAGAGAGGCAAGGTTCTCTATGCCAATAGTAAATGTCAATAACTACCTTTCTCTTTGACATGACTTAAACTGGAAGAAGGTTGAAGTGTGATCTAATTCTGCTCACTCCAGTTTTAGGAAAATTGCATCAGCTGATTCAAGTGCAATGTGGTCTACCACAAGAGTAAGAACACAGCATGTTCTAAGCAGGAGCATAATGAATCATTACTGGTTTCTAGCTGTCTCTCCAGTTTGACTTCTGGTCTGACCAAATCCTGCTAAATACCTTGCATATATACAAAGTGAAAGCATCACAATGCACAATTTACAACCAAATGCTTGACCTCTGTAGCCTTTATACTTTGAGCACCATGAAATTATTTGCCTTTGAAATCAATAGAATAATCTGAAATTTCACTTGGTAAGTATTGAGTTTCTCAGTGCTTTTGTGTATTACACCTAAAGCAACAACCACATAGTGGCTCAAAACATGCAAATTCTGATCATGACTAACATAACTACCAAGGTCTGTTTAAACAGCATTTACGCTCCAGTGCAAACACAATTAGATCACCGATGACAGAATTCCATAGAAACTGTTAACTAAGGTTGACGGATGGATAATAAATTAGGTTTTAAGTTTACAAGTTCTTCCCAGTTCCCACACTCAATCAATTTCTAGGGCATGCAAAATCTGCATCTTTCTGTCTTAGTCTATTTAGTTGCAACATCAACTAACAATAGAACACAAGGAGCAACTAAGAAACATGGATCAAAAGGGCATAAAGTGGAGGTGGAGGAAGTGAATATGAAGAGGCTGTTTAAAGAAGAGACAGGGTCTCCATGCATTTTAACAGCAGGCTCTGATTGTTAGCAGGGAAATAACCACAGGATTACAGCTCTTGAAGCACTGTAATATCAATACATATTAAGACAGAAGAAAACAACAAACAATAAATAATTAAGCAGGTATTTAAATTCTATTGCATAGTGCCTGTAGTGAGACATTAATATGATTGTCAGTCAGTTGTAGTAAATTGACAAGTCACATTAAAACTGAAATTATTGGGTATGTACCTCTCTGTAGGCATGTACATGCATGCATTTGTAATCCAGATTAATTATTATCACTCAATAAATGTAATAGAGGAAACATTCATAATTTTTGTATTTCAGGCAGAAGGAAGAAATATTGCACTACCTTCATCTCTGGAGTAATCTTCACCAGAGTGGGGCTCAAACAAATAATCACCAGTGGCCAATTCAAATGCCTGAAAAGAGAAAGAGCAATCCAATATCAGGTCTGTTACCAAACTGATTTACCTGTTCTCACAAGGATGCCTGTGGATTTATATAAAAGTAAAGCTGATTAACAAACTGATGAGCGACCATGTGTAGCGTCTCACCATGCAGGCTGTGCTCCATATGTCAGCGGGTGTGCTGTACCCTGATCCCAGCAACACCTCCAGAGAGCGGTACTGTCGGGTCTGAATGTCTTCAGTAAAGTGCTTGTGCTGAAGAACAGATAATTTATATAAATAATCATATTGAGTATTTAATAAAAAAAAACATGAAATCAACTTCTATATTATCTTTCTTAATAAATGTACCATTAATCGGCCCACACTCAACCAAATAAACGTACACTACCATTCAAAAGTTTGGGGCCGATAAGTTTGTTTTAATGTTTTCAAAAAGTTTGAAAGTTAAAAAAGAAAAACAAAACAAAACAAATGAACAGTTTTTAAAGTTTTCATGCCCACCAAGGCTTATTTAATTTTAAATAACCATTTAATGTAATTTATTCCTGTGATTGCTAAGCATAATTTTCAGCACTCATTACATTACTTTAGCATCACATGATCCTTCAGAAATCATTCTAATTTGCATTTTTACAAATAAATTATTTGGATTTCATCGGGTTATTAAGATATCTTACCACCCAGCAGGCGTTGCCAAGGTCTGCAATCTTGACCTTGATATTGTCTGCGTTAAGTGGGTCCAGTGGATTGACCAATAGGCTTCCAGATGACAACTTATCTGAAAGAGGAGGAAAAAACTAATCAAAAACAGCCATATGTGGTTACTATGAACTCTCATTGTAAAATGTCTCATCAAAAATGCTCACTATGTTAGGAACGACATGAGTGTGAACAAATAATGACACTTTTCATTTTTTATGTGAACTACCCCTTTAATACAAACAGTTACCAGCATGTAAGAATCACATAATCTCTGAAAAACCTCACTAAAAGAATTAAAAAGCCATATAAAATTCACCATTCTTTAGCTTATCCTTGTTCTGTTCCCTGGCTCTGGTTCTAGTCTTCTGCTGATCTTGCTCTCCGGGTGGCATATCTCCTTCCTCTAGCTGCTCTCGAACTGAGGTGCCATTACTGTAGCCGGCCTGATCCAGTTCAGGGGACTCTGCCCCATTACAGTACTCGTACATGCTTTGAGCTGTGTCCTCTGGGCCCGTGTTCGCATTATGGTGGTCCTCCTGTAGCAGTTGGCCATGTCGCTGGTCTCCTTGATCATCCTCCTCAGGCTGTGTTTGACTGGAGTGCATACAGCCGTTACAGTTGAGCTCAAGTGAAGCATCTGAGGTTAGTCTCTCTCTAGTCTGCACTATTACGTGAGAGGCAGAGAAACAGAAATATAATGGAGATGTGTTAATGGCAGCAAATTTGTACTTCATCACAAGTTGCAAATAACAGCAAAATCTAAGCAACTTTAATTAACACTAGCACTATAAGAAAATCATTGATACAAATAGAAACTAACTTATTGTGTCCTCATTAGCAATGTCCTGCAGTGATGCCTGTCTTAATGGGACACAGGAGGGGGTTTTGGGGGATTCTGGGTCATCCTCCTCTTCCTCTCTGCCTTCAGGCCCAATCTCCATCTCTTCCAAGTCCATAATGCACTTCTCTAGGAGCTCCGCTTGACGCTTCTGCTTCTTCTTTAGCTTCTTTTTCTTGTTTTTTGACATTTTTGGTGCCTGAGGAAGAGCAAGATGGTTGATCATGTTAATGCGAAAAAGCATTATGACAACTGAAAAATTCCAGGTTATTTTGACAAATAAAGTTACACTACCATGCAAATGTTTAGATTTTTTTTGGTCAGATGTTTGTCAGATGAAACAAGACTCTCATTCTTAACAAGGCTGCATTTATAAAAAAAAAAACAAAAAAAACAGTATTATTGTGAAATATTACTACAATTTAAAAGAACTGTTTCCTATTTTTATTTTTTTTTATGTTCAATTGTAATTAAGTCCTGTGATGGCAAAGCTGAATTTTCAGCAGCCTTTACTTCAGCCTTCAGTGTCACAGGATCCTTCAGAAATTATTCTAATATGCTAATTTGCCGCTCAAGAAACATTTATTAGTATAAATGTTGAAAACAGTTGTGCTGCTTTATATCTTTGTGGAATGACATGTTTTTATCAGGATTCTTTGATAAACATTTACTTAAAAAGGAAATACTTTGCATCATTATTAATGTCTTCACAATTACGGTGGCAATATTTTAAATTGTAAATAACCCAGAACATTCCTGGAATTGAGAACAGCAGCTCAAGATTATATTCAAAGAACTACAGAAAGAAAAAAAATATTGAATAGTTTTCTTCGGGACATTAAAATAATAAAAAATTTATTGAAATGAAATGTATAAAAATATCTGCTTAAGAAGGAAAGCATACCTGTTTTGGTGCTGGGGCAGTGCTGACTGGAAGATAAAGGTCAACAAGTCATTTTAACTCAATGACAGCTTGCAAAGTAAAACAATTTTAAGAGCAGTATGCTAGAGGGTAAGAAAGCTAACCAGCAAGTTTTGTTAACGAGAGAATGTGAAAAATTTCTAGGGAAACGTTTACACATAATCATTTGCAACTGGTTGAAGCCATGTAAAAAGTATGCTTCACTGTAAAAAATTTATTGAAATGAAATGTATAAAAATATCTGCTTAAGAAGGAAAGCATACCTGTTTTGGTGCTGGGGCAGTGCTGACTGGAAGATAAAGGTCAACAAGTCATTTTAACTCAATGACAGCTTGCAAAGTAAAACAATTTTAAGAGCAGTATGCTAGAGGGTAAGAAAGCTAACCAGCAAGTTTTGTTAATGAGAGAATGTGAAAAATTTCTAGGGAAACGTTTACACAATCATTTGCAACTGGTTGAAGCCATGTAAAAAGTATGCTTCACTGTGCGTGTCATCACTGTGAGCAGAGCTGTCGTACCTGCTGACCCAGATGGAGGGGGAGCGCCTGCTTTCTGCCACTCAGTGGCTTCTGCAGCCAAGCGCCTGACATACAGCTCATCCACGCTCATAAGAATGTTCTCTGGTTTAATGTCTGTGTGGATGATTTGACACTTGGTGTGCAGGTAATCCAGACCTTGAATAACCTGATATTTCAAAAATGCAGAGACTCAAACGACTATAGAAAATATATATTAGCACCTTTCTAAACATCCTGGAGCAACACAACATTAAATTTTAATCACAAAACCAAAAGGTACATAATATAACACTGAATATTAACAATACAGTACTTTTACAACAATGCAACACAACATTATTACATTATTATTATTGGTTATTCACAGCTCTCTGAAACGGATGACTCTGATTGCTTCTGATTCTAATTGAGAAACACCCCGCAGGATATTTTTTTTGTTTTGTGTTTTTGAAAGAAGTCCCTTATGCACACAAAGTCTGCATTTATTTGATTAAAAATACAGGAAAAACAGTAATGTTGTCTTCAGTGTCATATGATGCTCATTCTAACATGAAAAAATTCTTATCAATATTGAATACAGGAATTTTTTTTTTGGATGTCACTTTTGATCAATTAAATGCATCCTTGCAAAATAAAAGTACTAAATTCTTAGGAAAAAAAAAACTTCTGGCAGTAATGCACATTATCACTTACAAACATGTCTGTTCTAGTGGTTTCATAAAAAAACATGTGACAAAAAGTAAGCTAGTAAATTTTTAATAAAACTATAAACGTTACGCAAACTCATAATAATTCATCTGTAATTGATCCACTGAATCCAGGACAGCAGTTAATTAGTCAAACCGTAATTACGTGAACACTGATCTGGTTGTGCAGTGGTGTGCTGCGTTACCTGTCGAATGATGCTCTTGACACAGGGCAGAGGTAAGCCTTGATAGTTGGACTTGATAATCCATTTAAGCAAGTGGTGCCCTAGAACCTCAAACACCATGCAGACATCTGAAAGATCAAGTGAAGGTCCAACACTTTTCAAATTGAATCTACTGTTGGTAGGAATAAATGTAAAACTTCTAACTGAAAAACATGATATCAGAACAGCTTCGCTCAATATACAAGTGCATCTAAATAAATTAGAATGTTATGGAAAAGTTCATTTATTTCAGTAATTCAACTCAAATTGTGAAACTCTAAAAACTCAAATTGTGTATTAAATAAATTATATGCACACAGACTGAAGTAGTTTAAGTCTCTGGTTCTTTTAATTGTGATGATTTTGGCTCACATTTAACAAAAACCCACAAATTCACAATCTCAACAAATTAGAATACTTCATAAGACCAATAAAAAAAAACATTTTTAGTGAATTGTTGGCCTTCTGGAAAGTATGTTCATTTACTGTACATGTACTCAATACTTGGTAGGGGATCCTTTTGCTTTAATTACTGCCTCAATTCGGCGTGGCATGGAGGTGATCAGTTTGTGGCACTGCTGAGGTGGTATGGAAGCCCAGGTTTCTTTGACAGTGGCCTTCAGCTCATCTGCATTTTTTGGTCTCTTGTTTCTAATTTTCCTCTTGACAATACCCCATAGATTCTCTATGGGGTTCAGGTCTGGTGAGTTTGCTGGCCAGTCAAGCACACCAACACCATGGTCATTTAACCAACTTCTGGTGCTTTTGGCAGTGTGGGCAGGTGCCAAATCCTGCTGGAAAAATGAAATCAGCATCTTCAAAAAGCTGGTCAGCAGAAGGAAGCATGAAGTGCTCCAAAATGTCTTGGTAAACAGGTGCAGTGACGTTGGTTTTCAAAAAACACAATGGACCAACACCAGCAGATGACATTGCACCCCAAATCATCACAGACTGTGGAAACTTAACACTGGACTTCAAGCAACTTGGGCTATGAGCTTCTCCACCCTTCCTCCAGACTCTAGGACCTTGGTTTCCAAATGAAATACAAAACTTGCTCTCATCTGAAAAGAGGACTTTGGACCACTGGGCAACAGTCCAGTTCTTCTTCTCCTTAGCCCAGGTAAGACGCCTCTGACGTTGTCTGTGGTTCAGGAGTGGCTTAACAAGAGGAATACGACAACTGTAGCCAAATTCCTTGACACGTCTGTGTGTGGTGGCTCTTGATGCCTTGACCCCAGCCTCAGTCCATTCCTTGTGAAGTTCACTCAAATTCTTGAATCGATTTTGCTTGACAATCCTCATAAGGCTGCGGTTCTCTCAGTTGGTTCTCTCAGTGTATCTTTTTCTTCCATACTTTTTCCTTCCACTCAACTTTCTGTTAACATGCTTGGATACAGCACTCTGTGAACAGCCAGCTTCTTTGGCAATGAATGTTTGTCACTTACCCTCCTTGTGAAGGGTGTCAATGATTGTCTTCTGGACAACTGTCAGATCAGCAGTCTTCCCCATGATTGTGTAGCCTAGTGAACCAAACTGAGAGACCATTTTGAAGGCTCAGGAAACCTTTGCAGGTGTTTTGAGTTGATTAGCTGATTGGCATGTCACCATATTCTAATTTGTTGAGATAGTGAATTGGTGGGTTTTTGTGAAATGTGAGCCAAAATCATCACAATTAAAAGAACCAAAGACTTAAACTACTTCAGTCTGTGTGCATTGAATTTATTTAATACACGAGTTTCACAATTTGAGTTGAATAACCGAAATAAATGAACTTTTCCATGACATTCTAATTTATCGAGATGCACCTGTATAGTATGTGTACAGTGCAATAGCAAAGAGCTTTTTTACATTTTAGAGATGTCAAGTTGCGATACCGAACAGGACCACATGGAGATGCCAAAAAA